ATCAAATCTTGCCAGCAGGGACCAAAAGCTATACAGGAAACAAGACTCGTAGCAGAAGCTCCAGCGGGAGGGGCAAGGCTGAGGAGCAGGGCGCCTGCGCCCGACACCCTTATGAAGCATGTTTGGACCACTGAGATTTTGAGGAAGGGAACTATTGCATTCCTAGGTTGTGAGATAGCTGTATAATGTTAGGTGAAATTCTGAACTTCCTGTATTTTTTGAAGATTAAGTACCATTCTGGATGGGTTTGTGCAGAATATGACAGCCTGGCCTTGGGTAATATGTATTATGGCTCCTGAAACATTCCTTTCTGGTATGGTTCCCTGAGAACCAAATTTGCTGAAACAGTCTTCTGCCATCATGTTTCTCCTGTGGAGTCCAATAACCATACACTGCATCTCCTGAAACCACGGACCAATGAGGATTTTCCTCCTTTAACCTGAGGGTACCTTGGTACCATGACTCACTGACAAGCTGAAAAATGTAAATTGATTAGGTATCTATCAATAAAGGATTAAGCAGAAAGAAACCTTGAATTTTCTAGTCCCATACAATGTTGGTCAGAAACTTCTGATTCATTATACACTACACATGAATTACTCCAAAATCTTTCTTTTCTGTTTATTCTTCTCCATAGGTATGGGGATATATTTAACCCAAATGTATTCTGTGTAAATATCAATTTATTTATATAATTTTTTTTTTTGGCAAAACCAGGGATTGAACTCAGGCCCTTGCACTTGCCAGGGAAGTGCTTATTCCACTGAACCATCTCCCTGCCCCCTGTAAATATCAATTTAAAAGCATTTTGTATTACAAACTTGGGATATTGGGTTCTTTTGGAAATTAAAAACTGAGTTAGCAAGTTAGGACAGTATTTCCTCAGTTACTATTCGCAGAGAAAGCTGATCCCTTTGGAATATGAGAGGTCTTCCTTGTTATTCCCTGCTTGTAATCTATGATATATGTACTGAAATCAAGGTGACCTGACTCACTTTGCAAATGAGTTTGATATATAAATAAAACTATTTTAGCACTGTGTGCTTTCTGGTGCAGAGAATCAAACCTAACACTTCATGCATGCCAAGTAAGCAGTCTATGCTTGAGCTACATTCTTTGCCCCAATTTGACACTCTGGGTGGACACATACAGTTATCTTGAGAGAGGACTATCTACTCTTGTTTTACTGAAATCTAGACTAAGCCTTAGAGGGTTTTGACTAAGAAAATGTAGTTGGAACTGAGAATATTGACTTGAAGCAGAAGTTGAGACGGTACCATGCGGCTTATCACATCTGGATGCTTACCATAAGACAGTACTGGAAGCAGGGTTTCTTCAGCAACTTTGCTCCAGAAAAGGATAGTGACAAGAGTCATCAGAACCTACAGTACATGTGGCCTGAGTGAGAAACAAATCTTTGTTATAATCGAGTATCTTGTAATACTGTGTACCCATCACAGCCCATTCTTACTGCTATCTGTATCTAAATTACCCATCTAGTGTCAGAAAGCAGCTGATGTTTTCCCTACAAATTATCTAACTTTTAAAGTGTGAAAAAACTGAGGCTCAGGCCAGTGAGATAGCTCAGTGGACTAAGTACCTGCCTAGGCAAGTGCAAGGACCAGGGTTCAATCCCCAGCATCACATGCTGTGCCATCCCTGCCCCTGGGTGTGCTGAGCAGGCCACCAAGATAGGGCGTGGTGGTACACACCTGTAATCCCAGTGCTGGGGAGGCTAAAAACAGGAGGATCACTATGAGTCCAATCTGTTCAGAGAGACCATGTTTATCAAATACATAAATAAAAAATAAAATAAAACAGGCTCAATGGGGTTCAATTGTTTGCAGATGCTGGTGTCAGTCTCTACATTTGACTTCAAAGTGAACCCATTTACTTGAATTCCTCATCTCAGACAATTAAGGCTTTGAACTACACCATTATTTTGCCATTAATTCTATCCCACACTATACTATGAATATGAGTAAGATGTGCAGATGTATGAAATAGCTAATCAAATTATATACTATATCCCATTTTATATTTTGATATTTTTTTTTTTTTATTTTTGTGATACTGGGGAATGAACTCAGGACCAGGCAAGTGCTTATTCTACTGAGCTATCTCCCTGGCCCTAATTTTTTTTTTTTTTTTTTAATGTATATAGTACAAGGTTTACAGGGTTTCACTATGTAGATTGGACTTTAGTGATCCTCCTGTTTTCAGCCTTTCAAACACTGGGATTACTGGCATGTACTACCACACTGTCTCAATCTCTGTCTCAGCATGCCCTGGGGGCGGGGCCAGCAAGACCTGCTGGGAGTAGAACCCTGGTTCCTGCGCTCTGCCTAAGCAGGTGCTTTAGCCCGCTAAGCCATCGGGCCAGGCCACAGTATTTAATATTGCCACTGTGGTTTCTTATTTTTTACCAAATACTTTTACATGAAAATTACTAACAGATGAAAAGACTTTTTGAGAAGTTTTCTCTAAAAGCCATACAAAAGCCACATACATTTATTCATGTATTAGTCTATAAGCTTTAGATTTATATTTTAAACATGTTGTATTGGGGCTGGGGAGATGTCTCATTAGAATAAGTGCTTGTGTGGCAAGTGCAAGGGTCTGAGTTCAATCCCTGGTTCTGCCAAATAAATAAATAAATAAATAAATAAATAAATAAATAAATAAAATAAACATGTTGTGTCTCTAACATGTTAAGAGAATTTTAAATCACATACATTGTATTGCATTGCAAACTCATTTATTTATATTTAAAAATCCAAAACAACATAATAAATTTGGCTTCTTTTCCCCACAGAAATGGGAAATATATTTCAGTAAAGGACAGTTTTATTATTTTTATGTATTAGGCTGTTAGATTTTATGGTTCTTTAAAATATGATACTAGCAAAAATAACATTAACTGATTAGTGTATGAACAGTTTACAATAATATGGTAAGAAACAAAAACTCATGGGAAAAAAAACCTTTAAAGAAATTTTCAGATAAAACTATTACAATACAGTTTATTCCTAATGACAACAGGCCCATTAATAGAGCACTTCTGTACAAAAAAAATAACAAAAATAACCAAGTATGGCATTTATTGCAGCAACAAAAAAATTAAAGGTCATAATGTCTGTAACGTAACCCCCACCCCCAGTGGTATAGTGGCTTCTGATTCCTTAAACATAGAAATGCTGTTCTTCACGGTAGAAAGATGAAGTCTTCTTATCAAAAGGCACATTCTTATCTGCAAGGAAAGAACATTATGTCACTTTTGCAGCAAATTGAAACATTTTAAATGTTTCACATTTTAAATCTCTCACAATTTCCAGAGGGTAGAACACAAAGTACTTAACTTAAATAAATTTTAACTAATGACTTCAGTAAAACACACAATTACTTTGTATATATTAAGTATTTCAAATATTAGCTCTGAATAGTAATTGTAACTTCAAAGAAATTTTATATATAATTTTATGGATAATAACAAAGCATACTGTAGTCACAAGAAAATTATATTCTCTTGAGTGACTTCAATGAACTTACATATGTGCTGTAGTTATTCCTAGTTTTGTTTAGCTGACCCTATTTCTCAGTCTTCAAAAATGAGAATCAATTAGAGATACAGGATTAAAAGTAGAGTTGAAAAAAATACTTAGAGCACTTACAATGTGGTATTTACAGTGTGGCTATTCATATGGAAGACAATGGCAAAAATGTGCTCATTTTCCTCTTATTCACTAGTTCCTAGTTTTGTATTTTTTTTTAATCATACAAATTTATTGGATCTTCATTTTAAATACACAAATTACTAATTCAAATCTGGGCTTTTAAGAAACTTCTGTTAATAACATCCATCATAATTTAAACAATTTAGTCATTCTATGTTATATTTAAAGATGTGTGGTTTACTGATAAATCTTCATGAGTAATCAGTAGGATTTCGAACTTCACTGAAGATGTATCTGAGAATAAGTAAAGCTCTTTTCTGATTATATTATCAAAATTTTTAGTTATCAGCTTATAATAGATCTTTAAATGATTACAAGCTAAAGAACTCCTTATATTTATATCACAAGATATTGAATCTTTTAAATACACATTACAGATTATTTTTACAAAATATTATGCTCAGATTCCACTTTATAATTTCTTGTTCTTTTCATGTTTTAAAATCATTTTCAGTTTAATGATGATTTTTCACATTAGTTTAAAAAACAATCTGTGAATTCAAGTGTTATTTCACATAGTAAGAAATAAATCACAAAATTACCAGAATCTGAGTTCTAATAGGAATCCCACTTGGGCCATGTGAATGAGAAGGTGTTGGGAAGCTGAGGAACACCGCAAGAACAGCACACGCGCTTCCTGACAGAGAAGGCCCGGCACCAAGCAGCAGTGCCACAATGTGTGTCTGCAGGAAAGCTCTGTGAGACTCGCCATCAGTCTCAAAGCACATATGAAGACAGTAACCGTCCTTCGTGATCTATCCTAGTGCATTATGCCCTCTTCTTGAGAGTATTTATACACGACTCTTCCTCACCTAGAACACTGTGCTCCTCAGGGTGGGATGTCCTCAGAACCCTATGCTGACCAGTACCTACTGTGTGCTGTGCAGAACACCAATCTCTTTCCAGCGCGACAGAATAAAACTCCAAACAATAATAAATAAAGACATTTTTATTATTCTTCTCCACCAAGATCACTTTTAGCTGACCATCCTCACGCTGGAAACTTCCTTTCCTCTGCATCGGCTGAAGTCAAACCCACTTCACCTTTCTGGTATGAGCGGAAAGATCCTCTCTAATTATTTCTTGTACCCAGAATATTGCTGAGCACTATACTTTGCCACTGCTTTCAATTCCTTTCCCTTCTAACTCAGCCTCTATCCACACTGCAACTGCCCTCATTTGAAAAAACTGAGTTTCAAAATATTACTCTTCAGTTTTATTTAACTCCAATTCATCTTTCACAAAGCACCAGAATAATGTTCTGGAACCTAAAAATGAGTATCACTCCTCATTCCAGAGTGTTTGATGATCTAAGAGCCTCCTGGGCTGCTAAATCTCCATCTGAGGGCTGGTCAGATAGCTTAGTGGACTAAAGTGCCTGCTTAGGCAGAGGGCAGGGACCAGGGTTTGATCCCTGGCATGCTGTGCTGGCCCTGCCTCTGAGGCATGTTGAGATAGTGACTGAGACTGGGCGTGGCAGTACACGCCTGTAATCCCAGTGCTTGGGAGGCTGAACACAGGAGAATCATTATGAGTCCAATGTGTGTAGTGATGAGACCCTGTAGATCCTGTCCTAAATACATTTAAAAAACAAAAACAAAAACAAACAAAAAAACCAACCTCTTCATCTTTGGTGTGGCTCAGCCCCAAAAGCAGCAGCTTCTCCAGACCACCACATCCTGTATTTGCAGAGGCCCTGGCTCTATATACAACCCCTATGAGGGCCATGCCTGGGCTCACGCATTCAATATCCCTTTCCATGCAACTTTCCCCATCAGACTCTTACTTTAATCATATTATAGTTCTGAAAAGTAACTATACATCCACACCACTTACAAAGTACAATCTTCTCAGCTGTTATCCCAAACCCACCCACTTGCTCTTTTTTAGGAATCCTACAGTAATCTGAAAACATGTGCAGAATGTGCAGCACATGGAAAAAAAAAAAAATCTCCAAGATTTCCTACTGCCTGGAGAGATCATATGAAAGTCGTAAGAGGTTCTGGTGGACTCGAAGAAGCCAGAACAGAATTACATAGTGACACAGGTGTTGATGTACTAATAGGAGGACTTTTGACCAAAAAGAAAGGGATGGAGAAGCAGCTCCATCATCAAGCAGGACAAGGTAGGCCTCAGCTGTGTCATAAAGGGAGAATAAAGGCACCTTATCCCCTATCAGTACTGTTATACTGAAAGCTCATAAAACAAGTACTTTTATTGCATCATCTCCAAACTGGGGGACTCTTCCAGCTTGTAGTCAGCGTCTTACAACTGTTGCCAGCTAGCAGTTCTCACATAGACGCACTGGCCTGTGCACGTCCCAGGATGGTCAAGGCTCTTCGCTTTGCTATCACTTGAGCTGTATCAAAACACTGTTGCTATGAAAAGGGTTGAGCTTCATTATGTTTGAAAGTCTGTAGAAAGAGTATGTTATGAACACTCAATGAAGCAAAAGTTACTGCATACATAGGAAGACATAGCAGAGAATACCAAGCTAGAGAAGGTGCTTATTTATTACAGAACAGAGCAATGACATTGTTCCAAACATTCTTGGCAAGAGATGAAGAACTACTTCAAAGTGGCATTAGAACCTCGATAAATGAAACCTGTTCATTTCTGTCCTGACACTGCTTATCAGGAAACCAACTGCAAGTGGATGTTGCCTAATTCTTCAGAAGGGATGAAAACTCTGTTAGGGGAGGTGAGGGCACACAATTCTTGCATATTTTATTTATTTTTATTTTTTTGGCAGAACCGGGGATTGAACTCAGGCCCTTGCGCTTGCCAGGGAAGCACTTATTCCACTGAGCCATCTCCCCGGCCTTCTTGCATATTTTAAAAGTGCTGTACATTGTTTCACAGTAAAACTGGCAGTTCCTTCTTTCTTAGTGCATTAGATAAAACAAACAGTGGTGTACATCTCCAGTCATGAGACCAACTTAGAGTAAAGGGACAAGAGAATAGAAAGGTAGAATCTTTTACTAATGATGTTCAAACCCTGAACTGAAGAAGTTTAAACTGGAAATAACTGAACTCCCTGGGAGTGACAAACAGAAGTTCTTTAACATTAGAATGTAAGATGCAGAAAAATTAATAGTAAGGTTCTATCTTTGCTAAACTACAAAGTTGTTCAATTAGTTGGTAACAAAAGCTCAGGAAGCACTTGAGTCAACCACATTCTGGTGCTTCTTATTTACCACAATATTTTTCATCTATGGTAGGATTAGTCACAGAAATATAAAGGGTAGTTGAGATGTCCAATGTTCAAGAGTATTTCCAATGTTAAATTAAAAAGAAAATTAAAAAAGAGAAATAAAACAAGATATCTCAGCTATTCTGGTGATGGCAATGTACTTCTAGTGATCAAAATAAAAAATTAAAACCTATATGCTCGGCTAGTGATGGTGAACCACTTGGAACCCAAGTACCCAAACTGCAATCCAAAGCCCACTTATTGCAAGTGTCAACACTGCAATTAAACCTGAATACTGAGGTTTCAGCTCAGAAAATACAACTTGTCCAATGCTTGGCTGTTGGGGCGACTCGGCTTAGGTAGTTATAGAGAGTGCTCTGTACACTGGCAGAAGAGCGTGTCATAGGTTTGTCACCATGCTATTGCCCTGCCTGCATCTAACTTCTATATAAAAGTTATATACACTCTTTAATAATAATTCCTAGGGCCGGCACTTAGCTCAGCAGACTATCGCGCCTGTTTAGGCAGAGCGCAGTGACTGGAGTTTGATCCCCAGCTCACCATGCCAGCCCCGCCCCCAGGGTGGGAGATGATGACTGACATTTGGCGTGGTGGCGCATGCCTGTAATCCCAGCTCTTGGGAGGCTGAAAACGGGAGAATCACTACGAGTCTGAGATTCTGCAGACCCTGCACCAAATACCTAAAATAATGATGATGATAATTCCTGAGACATCATCTCTTCATTCATTGACCCCAAATTCCAAGTATCTATCTTTCATCAGTTCACAAACTAATTCAATAAAAAGCACTATGGGAGGCTGAGACAGAATGATCTCGAGCCCAGTTTGAGAATGTCTGAGTCCAGTCTCAACAACTTAGTGACTTAGTGAGTCCCTGGGATTCAATCTCCAGTATAAAATAAAAGAAAGAAAAAGCCCCAATAGTCACATAGCAACATTTTGTAGGTTGTGTGCTAAATATGCATTCTCTTTTGGCTTCTTAATAAAAGAACCACTGTTTTCTCTGTTTTTGTAAGCAAATATGAGTAATAAAGAAACAGTTCTGAAAAATTCTGATTCCCTAATAGGAGAGAAATATGGTATGGTTTCTTGCCTCACACTTTTCTGCTGCTTAAAGCAGATGTGACAACCTGAAACAACAGGCGTCACATAGTCATGACAGAACAGATGTGAGCTAAGGGTCGAGACAACTACATAAATGTAGTTAATTTCTGTCACCAAAGGCCACTGAATAATGCAACAACCACTACAGATGTCTCAGAACATGTCAGTAACATTGTGACTGTAGTGCTGGGTTTACTA